TAATAAGTTTCGATGAAGTCTCTTTACCTTAAGACTTTCTAGCCTAGATTTGACAACTGAACTGAAGCTTCTATCAGAGATTTATTCATCTAAAAGAGAAAACAGTCACGCGAAGACGGATCCCTGTTTCCTTCGATAAAGATAAGAGGTGTTTCTTCTGGCTGGAAATTTCTGCTTCGGTATCTCTCAGCTTGTTGAATTTATTCCCTTTTTAGGCGAGCCTTGAGGGATCTTAAGATCTCTCTTAAGATCCTAAGACCTTAGGATCTTGAGAATTGCATAACTCCGTAATAAACTACAATAGACGTTCTATTAATTTACCAGAAGAAAGTCCACTGACACATCTTATCGTATTGTCTATCATACTTACTTTGCATGGTGATAGCCAATTCTTGTATTGTATAATACTATAATATATACAAAGTAGACAATATAATATTGTAAATACGTCAAAAGTGATGAGTGATGTTTTTCTTTCCTGCGTTATTTTATTGGTGCTAAGGAAAATGATAGACGAATAAGTTATCTACTTTTCAAACACTTGAGCTGACATGGACAATCCCTTTCATATCATTCCAAAAAGGTGTATATCTTTGTTTGCCTAGTAATCATCTCCAACGAAGATCTTTCTTGTTTGTCGTCAATTTATCTCCCGTTAAAGCCTTTATGATAATCAACATTTTGATAAGCAACACTTGTCTCCTTTGAACAACTCCAACTTTCAGACCATCATTTCTAGACTAGAATCTTCAATCCTCCAGGGGCATCGTACTTTGAAAGGAGAAGCGGTGAAATTCATGAGAGATACTCTGTCAAATAACGAACAAAATTTTACTTTTTCATGGAGAAATATATACTTTTTTTTACTCCTACGAGTTGAAACCTAAACCTACTTACATTTCAGGCTCTCCGCTTCACATGCAGGTTTTGTATATTTTCTTATCGGGTCCTTGATGCTTGGGACCAAGTGAAATTAAAGTAACTATCACGCTGGCTATTGCTCAAGATTTCTGGAGATGCTTGTTCTCAGCAAAAATACTCCCACGACTCGATGGCTTCTGGGATTGGTGCAGGCTGGCGAAGACTATGCTTGTTCGCATAGTAGACTTCAACGACGATCCCGAACATTAGAATATTCTCACAACTAGGAAACGATTTCGATCGGGAATTTTTTCCTGATACATATGCACTGTTTCATTACATTTGTTTCGGATGATCTAAATCTATCGCAGATACATATCTCTATTATGATTTAATACTGCTTGTCATACAGAGCGGACCATTTGAATGGGATCTATATAATTTCTAATTACATTGTTTTTGAGACATACATGTACAAACTTTGTTAATAAAAGTTATCTAGTACTAAGGGCAGACCGTAATATGGCAGTAATTTTCGTCCCTTTTTTCAAAGATTTCGTGAATACTTCCAGTTTCCTTCAATGGAATGATGTGCCATTTTAACCAATGTAACTCGACATCCTTTATAGAAAAAAAATATCAACCTAAATCGAAAAGCTATTAGTCCAGGAGCGTTGTTAATTTAATCTGAAGTCTGTAGAATCTATGAAAGATAACGAAAGACATACTTGTCTCTTAGGTGCAGATTTGCAAAATTAAAGTTAAAGTTAAAGTTATCAGTGGACAAAAGGATTCGCGCACTCGATCGAGAAGTTGTCTATATTTCAAAGTTGTTGGAACTTCATTGAAAGAAAGTCGTGTAAACAATCTCATTTCAAAGAATCTTGCCTTCACTTCGAGGTAGCACCGCACGTTACTTCTTTTCAAAGATAGTTTTACACACCATGTAGCAAGTGGAAAAGCAAAGACACTTCTGTCCCCAAAAATTGTGAAAATCCAAATGCCTCTGAGAACACTAAAAAAAAATATTCTCATGGTTAAATCTACCATGGTCTTGAAGACCGAGTTCTTTCGATGCACGATTCTTTCTTCTCTCGTCATTTCATCGAACTTTAAATATTACAGTCAAATGGCAAAAAAATGTTAGAATTTCTCGAACTTTTGTTATTTAACTCTGGCATTCACGGTTCAATAAACGGCTGAAAAAAAAAAATCGTGCATCAAGAAGTTGATGTAAAGGAAGACTTCAATCATTAAAATTATGGTAGATTTAGTAATAAAATTTTTCAGTGACTTTAAAGGCGTCGTAAATTCTTACAGTTTTTTTTGGCATTCTTGCTTTCGCAGCCGCTGCCATCATGTGAAAAATCATGTTTAGGAAAAAGAAGTTCACGAGGGAGGGTGTAAAGTAGAAGTACCATTCTTTAAAAAGACGCCACTTAGATTGTCATACGATTTCGTTCTACCAAGTTCAAAACAGTTTAAAATATCGATAATTTTTCATCGAGAAATGCGAATACTTTTGTTCACTTCTGTACATAGTTTAATGCTTTTTTTTTTTTTTATATAGAGAATGTCGAGATGCATCGATTAGTGGATAAAAAAAAATATATCGTTACACTTAAAAAAAAAAAAAAAAAAAATCAACACTCACATAATATGGTCCCCTCAGTAATAAAACGGTCGTCAACTTTTATTGACAAAGTTTATCTCTATCTGTGAAATTATTTTACCATTGGATGATCCCATTTAAAGTGGTCCACTTTGCATATGGCTTAATCACTTGTTCTAGCATGAAAATTAATTCAATTGCTCATCACGGACAGAAATTCGATCGTATAATAAATATTTGATACTGAAAAGCAAAGATCGAAACGTTAATAATAAAAAAGTTTTACTGAAAACTTGTTTATTATTCAAGCTAAGAATATTAACCAATTTGATATTATTTAATAATATTCTTAACTTAGTAATGTAATAAAAACAATCACGCTTGAGCTAAGAATATCGAATCGATTTAACATTATTTATTTTAATATTCTAAACTTACTATAAACTTATGCAAGTTTAATTAATAATAA